TCATGCGCATGGAAAAGACTTGATCTGTGCACCCCATTTCCTTTCTAAAACCCGCTTGCACATCCCAAATTTTTCCATCAGTTTCTTTCATAACTCTTTCAATTAACACCTTAGCATACAGTTTACCCACAATACTAAGCAAGCTGATACCGCGGTAGTTTTTGCAGTCCTGCTGTGACCCTTTTCCTTTATATATTGGTACTATAACTGCTTTACACCAGTCATCCGGTACCCGTTTTAATTCCCAACATAAATTAAACAAGGTGTACAGCAGGCCTGCCACCACTCCCTCTCCAGCCCTTAGCATCTCGAGTGATACTCTATCATATCCAGCTGCCTTACCTGCTTTCATGCTTTTCATTGCTTTCATTATTTCATCTACACTTATCTCCATACCCCTTTCCACTTCTTTCGGAATTTCTAGTTCATTTAATTCATACGACTCTTCACTCATAAACACGCTTTCAAAGTATTCCTTCCATCTGTTTAAATTCGAAACTTCATCATTCAGAATACATCCATTCTCGTCTCTTATAGCATTTATTATAGGCTGTTTTGTATTTCCCCTGGCAGTTCTTACGAGTTTCCAGAACATTTTTATGTTAGCCTGGAAATTATCAGATATCCTTCTATCATTCTTATCCATTCTTTCTTTCTATTTCCTTTCAACAACTTCTTTTACTCTCTTATTTAGACGTCTAAATTCTGCCTTTTTTCTTTCAATCTCATCATTCATACCAGAAGAATTACCAGCTTTGGTTGCTAGTAAATCTAACCATGCTTTCTTCTTTGATTCAACTTCCACCCGTACCTCATCATCCCACCACAACGTATTACTTTTCCTTTCATTTGTTCTTTTACTTACACCACATACTTCGGTGGCGGTATCCACCAAACCTTTCTTAATATTATCCCACACAGTCTTCAAGTCTAAATCATTCATACACAACTCATTCAAACATCTAATATTTTCTCTCAGTCTACATTTATACTTCTCTTTCACATCTTCATCTTGTAACTTCTCTATTCTTATACGCTGTAACGCAGTGGTAGACACAGATGTCCGATGCCGCCAACGCTTGAAAAGACCATTAATTCGACATAAGACCAAGTAATGATCCGTCCCTACGTTGGACCCCCGGTAAACCCTTGTATCTACGACTGCGCTCCTCATTCTTTCATCCACAATTACGAAATCTATCATGCTTCTATCATCACCTCTTTCCCATGTATACATGTGAATCTTCTTATGACGAAAAAAAGTATTCGTCACAAAAAGATTCTTTTCCGCACATACGGTGAGGAGGTCTTCACCATTCTCATTTATACTTTCATCACCAAACGTTCCCAACATCCTTTCATAACCAGACCTCTTCACCCCAACCCTTCCATTAAAGTCTCCTAACATAATAATATTTTCATTTTCCTTACATTTTGTCAACACCATCCTTACCATGTCCCAAAACTGCTCTCGAATGAAAGCGGGCTTAGACATGTCTGGGGCGTACACCCCTAGCAGGAACAGCTTCTTTAAGCCCACTTTCATTCGTATCCATAGCAGTCTCGGGCTTACACATTCATACTCTTTCACACATTGACCCATTCTTTCTGAAAGGATGAAACCGACTCCCTGGCACGCCCGTTCGGTCTCGCCTACACCAGACCAATACGCGGTATACGTGCCATGTGCAGTGGCATCCTTTCCCTTTCGTTTCGTCTGTAATAGTGGAGACGAACTGTCCACTATTAACAGACTCCGAGTGGTTTTCTTTAAGGTGGAGAAATGAAACTACTGTTTATGTTTATGAATGTACTGTCGAATGGGATTCGGAATGGAATATATTTTGCATCAACCTTGCCTATATTTATATGGCTGGCTCACTATTGATTTGCCAATGGTAACAATTAATATTTTGCCTAGCCAATTATATTGCTTATTTTATGACCAATGAAAACTATTTAAAATATACAATTATCTACGTTTCGTTTCCCGGCGTGAGACTTGTTTGTTGTTCACGAAGCTACGTCGCTGGACCGGGCTATATAAGACATGCAGATCGGTGCGCACGCGTAGTCGGCGGGCGGCGGCGGTGTGGAATACAGAGGACTCCGGAACAGCAAGAGGAAACGAACTGTGGCGTTGAAGAAACGGCTCACCATTGGTCGACGGATACGTGACGATAGCGGCGTGTGAAGTCGGTGTGGCGCTGAATGATATTTGCGGCTGCTTCTTGTTTCTTTATAAGAACGTCAAATTATCTATATACAGTCCGCAGTATCTCAGTAGCCAAGAATAATTAGGAAATAAAATGTTTTTTTTATTTATTCTCGCCTTCCGCGTTATGGTAGCAGCGGAGTATATATTATTTATTCCCGTTTAGGTTTGATTAATCTGGCTGCTACACGTCTCATTCACACATAACACATCTATTCCTCTGTCATTCATCATTTCGCATACTTCATCCATCTTATCATTCATTCCTCCACATACATTCAGCGTAGCCAGACGGGTTTCCGCAATCCACTTTTCGCCCCTCCGGGAGACAGAACGTGACGGGTGGCGAACCTCGTCGCCGGTTTTTCTCCCGGAGATTCTTCGCACCCCTGCCCCATTTAAGGGGCGCCGGGAACTCGGGGCCATTTCTTTTATTTCCTGAGTCATTCGAACAAGGGGTGGTGGTAGATTTTACGCCGCTACCATACGGCGAGGAGCCGAGTCTATTTTTTCGGCTTTGTCGCTCGTTTAGCACCACCCGGGGGACACGTGTAGGGTGGGCCTAAGGTTAGGTGGTCGGAGCCTACAGACGCGAGCGACTCATCCCCCACATTTTTTATTTTTTACATTGACATTTTGTAAAACTATACTATAAGTTTACGCGCGTTGTTAGTTGTTACACGTGTTTATATCATAAGTTTACAACTTATGAATTAAACACGTGTAACAACTAACAAGACGCTAAAAAAAGCTTTTCTGATTTCGAATTATTAACATATTTACAAAAGCTTTTCTAGATGTGTTAGTAATTCGGAATCATGATAACACGATCATGAAAACGATGGAATCATATTTAAACAGTGATTCTCACTACTATCCTTCACAGTTAGCTACCGTGGGTAAATCTTTGTTTCAGAGAGCACGAGGGATATGTGACAGTAGGCACCTGGTTGCCAAACTCCACCATGTCAAGCAAGTTTTGCATGATAACAAGCTTCGGGTCCCGCGCCTGCGTCACAGTGAACGAGTGATGCCGGCCACAGTTGAGCGTGTACCTGCTCTACTGCCATATATTAGAGAAGTCACTGACAAGATTGGCTACATCTTGAAGCGCGCTTCAATCAAAACATACTTCAAGCCGCCGAAGAAGATTGGTCAGTTTTAACCATCAGTCAAGTGTAATAAGTCCCTCTGCAAGATGCAGGAATGTACAAGCTTGATTGTGAATGTGGTCTCTCCTACATAGGACAAACAAAAAGATCAATCAAAACCCACGTTAAGGAACATATTGCTGATGTGAAGAATCGATGCTCCGGGAATTCTGCACTCTATGAACACGTACAGGATCGCCCCCGTCACTACATCAGATTTGATAGACCACAAATCCTCGCTAAAGAACACAGATTCTTTCCAAGGATGATTTGCGAGGCTATTGAAATCAAAAAACATCCTAATTTCAATAGAGAAGATGATATAGCTGGGTGCTACCATCTGCTTGGGATTCTATAAAAATAAAATTTAACCCTCAACCCAAGCATACAACAACTGCAAGACTTCAAGATACCATAAGCTCATGCTGGAACAAAAGTTAAATTTTAATCTATGGTAACCGCGGTTAACTATGACATCTGGACGTTGAACATCTCAGTCCCCCCCCGTGGCCATGTGTGCTGTAAAGCTCTTGAAACGTCGGGTATTTAAAAAGTTAAATATACGCGATAAAATCCGTAAAAACTAGTACTATTTCAATGTGTAGTGTTCGCGTAAATATAAGAAATAATTTTACACTTCACGCAATTTTCTTAACTCTAAAATTTCTCTTTCGAGTATGGCACATTTTAGTTTTTACTTATCTTCACACACAATCCCTAACGGTGTAGCCAGAGAGAACAGATCGCCAAGTGTCACGATCCTTACATACCTCTTTCACTTCTTTCAGGTTCATTAACTTCTTCATACATGCACGTCTAGGTATCCCAGTACTCTTGAACTTCCCCTCTTCGAGCAATTTGCTCACATGGTCTTCGAAAGTTAGTCTCGGTCTACCTCGACACCTTTTAATATTTACTTTCGCTCTATATATTTTTTTCTCTATTCGGTCTTCACTCATTTGCTCAACGTGCCCAAACCATTGGAGTACGCCCCTATCAATTTTTGTGATAAGGTCATCTTTCAATCCTGCCATATTGCGAATCTCTTCGTTTCGCTTTCGATCGGCTATGGTAACGCCACACATTTTACGAATAGGTCGCATCTCCACTGCATTCAACTTGCTTTTATGCTTCTTCTGGCATACCCAGGTTTCGCTGCCATGTAACAAAGTCGGTACCAACACTGCGTTATGTATTGCAAGGTGTGCACTCTTCACCACGCCTTGCCTTTTGACTAATGCATTCAGGGCACCATTGACTTTGTTTCTGGCAGCGACACACCTATCCACATCTAAATCACATCTTCCATCCCGGCTGAAAGCACTCCCCAGGTATACAATTTCATTTACCTGTTCTGCACATAATATAAACATTTTAGTTTTTCTTTGTGTATTTCAATTTTTATTGCATGTTTCTCTTCAGCCATTTCTAGATGTCTCTTGTGCTCTTCTTCTTTTAGCTTTTTGCTATGGCTTAGCATGTTATTAACATAATCATCATGGTTCTGTAAAATACAACCAGTTTAATAAATAAGATTATATGTTGATAGATAAACAGAGCAAGTTAAACAAAACTAGCAGCATAAATATTAACTTTTTTATATTTGATATGAGTTTTCGTACACCTTTCTGGGATTACTTCGTTTTGGGCACCTGCAAAAAAATAAGAATTAGGTTTGTAAAATAGTTTTCGAGGATTTTACACTAGCAAATAAATAAAAGTGCCTCTCAATAAATTACACACCTTCTTTGCTGAAGTCATGCCCATATTTTTGTTCATTGGAGTGGCCCCAATCGCATCTTGAGATACCTGTAAGATATTGTAAAAATTTAAAGTACACCATAGATTTCATACACATCTATGCACCTAGCACCTATATTATTGTTGTAAGCTCACCACTGATGAAGTAAATTCCTGAGCATTCTCTAGTGCATCAATATTTTCTATAATGTAGTCCTAAAAATGTAAAAATAATGTTTAATATTTTAGTATTCAGAATGCAATACTTTCTGTTATATAATGTCATAGATCAATAGATGCTGTGACCTACAGCTATCTGCTGATTTTCTGGGTTAATATTCTCATCCACATTTTGTATATCCAAATATTTTACCACATATGTCATTGGTTTCACATTCTGAAATAAATAATGAAAGTAATAACATGTAAAGCACACACACTAAAGGCAATTTTGTATGTCATCAATGTTATTCATTATTACTGTCCGACATTTTCGACCAACTGACCTGTAATGTGTTGTCACATGTCTCGCTGGTAGTTGCCAATATAACTTTATTTGATGAGGAACTTTCGATCTATTGAAAACAGAATAACAATTTTGCTAAATGTGCTAAATAAAAATAAATATTAATGATTAATAAATGATCTATGTATAGTTAATCGAGCAAGTAGATGAGTTTGTATATTTGGGCTGCGTATTTAGCAGGGATGGGAGATATGATAACGATATAGAACGACGAGTGAATGCGGGAAATAGAGTAAATGGGGCCCTGCACTCTATTGTGAAGAGTCAAAATGTTTAAAAAAAGGCACGTATGGCACTTTCACAATGCTATGTTGGTCCCTACTTTAACGTATGGTAGTGAAAGTTGGGTGTGGCAGAAGAAGCACGAGAGTAGAATCAACGCAGTAGAAATGCGGTCCTTATGTTAGGGCTGAATCTGAACGACTGAAATTGTGTAATAAGAGAAGAGTGTGGTTTGCAAGATGATGTTGTGACTAGGATTAAGAAAGGAATGCTTCGGTGGTTTGGTCATGTGGAAAGAATGAATGAGGAAAGAGTGACAAAGAAAATTTATGTTGCAGAAGTGAATGGCAGAGTCGGAAAGGGACGTCCTAGGCGAAAATTTATCGACCAAATTGGCGATTTATTGAAAACGGGCCAAATTAGGAGTACCCTTAACCGACAAGCATGTATGCGTAGGTGTATGGATGTGAAGGAGGCGAGCGAGGTGTGTCAGGATCGTGCCAAATGGAAGTCTGTAGTCTCTGCCTACCCGTCTGGGTGACAGGCGTGAGTGTTTATGTATGTAATAAATGAATAAATTGAGGACTTTGTCTTCTAAAATGTTATAAGGAGTACTAAAGAATAAAAAAATGTACTCATAATCCCATCCGAATCATATATATTATGATCCCTCAACAGCTCTGCAGGATTCAACAAATCTTTAATTTCTATTATTCCATCACTGAGAGTTACTGGTCCACCACCTGTTTTGGATAATTCTTTTTTGAAGGTGCTGTATTTCTTCCGAGTATTTACCTTCATTGTTTTCCATTGTATTTTCAGCTGACTTAAATGACTAAGATATATAATAAGAAAGTTAAACCTATAAGAATAGAAGATAAAATTAGTAGTATGAATCTTTTATTGGTTATTGTAATTTTAGTTATTGTGTTACATTTAATTTGCCTGTACTGTATTTGATCCTACTTTTCAAACATTTGTCAACGTTACGATTATATCGCATAACAGATTTTGAACAAATTAAGCAGAATTATAGGTAATGGTCTGAAAAAAGAAAACAGAGCATCTGAAAAGTCTTTTTATAGGATAAAAAACCTAAGTAGATCATAAATTCAGAAAACCATAATGATTTCTTAAACTTACACGAACACTACACATTGAATGAGACCATATTTACGGATTTTATCACGTTAATAACTTATTTTTAATTCTCGATGTTTTGGGTGCTATACAGCATCCATGGTCACGGAGGGAGTGAGATGTTTGATGTTCTAATGTTATAGTTAGCCCAGCTACCTTCAGTTTTTGAATATTAATTTTTTTGTCCGATCTACGCAAAACGAACTTACAGTATCTTGAATTCTTGCAGTGGTATGCTTTGGTTTGGTGATCCCAAGCAGATAGCAACACTGTGATAGATTACTGTGTATATACTAGAGATAGATGTGCGACTCAAATTTTATTTTCGTTATTGATACGTGCTTCGACTAACAGATGGCGCTAAATTAAAAGTGCTTTAAGCTCGCCCTTTATTTGCACTTTACAATTTTTATTTTATATACACCATCAATTACATTGCACAAGCACTGCAATGTAATTAACAGTTATTTATATATAAAATAAAATAAAAACCAGTTATTTTTAAAATTTTTATTGTTTAAAAATTCTTGGCTTAATTATTGATTAACATTATATGTGTTAACTTTATTAACATTTGCACAATATCAATTGTCATTTCTTTTTACAATGTCCCTACTGGTTTGTCGATATATTACAGCGAATAGAATACATAGTATAATCTTTATTCAATATAGATTATTACATAAAACTTATTGAATGTCATGTTTTATTTACAACTGGTTCGACTCTTTAACATATTTCACTTTACAATAATTTTGTTTGTATATTTTAAATAAATTTTAATAGAACAAGCATGGTGGTGATCACCTTATTCCCAGAGTTTATTTTTATGGATGTATTCTTTGATATTATAAAACATTTATTGTACATTTTTCCTTTCATAAAACATTTAAACTTGTTAATTGATAAATTTTGTACATTTTCTGGGATTTTGTTGTAAAAGCGTATAGACATTGCCCCATAAAAGAACTACTGGTTCAATGGAGTCTAGTAACTGGTATTAAAAGCTATGTTTATTCCAAGTATGAACATCTTTATTCTTATTGTTACGCGCCAAAGTCGACGGCACTAGCGCCATCTAGTGTCGAACCGAAGAACTAAACTTCTTGAAGTCTAAACTCGAACACTCGGTACCTTGCGCGTATTTACTCGAATATTCTGGATGTTTTCGTGGCAGAGCCCTATATAAAGGCGCTGCAATACACGATCGAGGAAGTATTGAAGTTGGCGAGACAAGCGAAGCTTCACAGCGGAATAAAGTGAATCAGTGTGATTAATTATTAGTGTTTTTAACTTTAATTAATGTTAAGTGAATTAAAGTGTTAACTTAGGTAATTCTATCGGCAATTTTTATTGTCACGAACCTCAAGCTCGTAACATTATTAAATATTGTGAAAGCTATTTATGTTTTATGTACCTACATACATTATATTTTCATAATTATAATGCCGGTTATTTCATAAAATTTTCTCTAAGGGATTCTTTACAATTTAAGATATTAATTGTCCATACGAGGGCTCTGTTTTACAAAACAAATACGGCTTCAATGTTAGTCGCATGAGCCCAATAGTAGTACCGAGAAAAACGGTGGTATACACAAGACTAAACTCCTTCCCATTTAAGAGCACATTGGTATTTGAATCCTTTCCAAAGTTTTGCTCCTCTTCCAAAATTTCATGAATTAGTATCAATTAATTGTTAATAGTGGTGCATCTTTACTTGAATATAAAAAGATACATTTTGGAGCAGCATTATTAATCTTTAAAATATGTACTTGATAACGTTATCATATTTTAAATGTCTCTAACAACTATACCTTTTAAAAATTTAAATAATTTACAAAAGTGACTTCTTATGCCCACTTTACTATTGCTTACATGTGTAATCAATATACTATTTTTTTAACAAAATGAACATTTTATATATTATGACATAACATACTCATACATAATACAACTTTAAAAAGATTATTTGAAATTATAATCAATCTAATAAATTGTGGAAAAGACTACATAAAGCAACAAAAATAACACCAAGAAAAAAATTGAATGAAACTCTGATATCTTTGACTATGCACACTCACATATTCCTGAATATGCAGTTAGTACAGTATAATATGAATTTAGTGGAAGATAATACAATTTTGAAGACAAATTGTTTAGCTCTTTCAATATGTAAGCCTTAAAATATATAGATTCTTAAGGAAATTGTTCACTTTGCCTCAAGATGGACATTAAAAATGTCCTTAAATAAATACTAATTGAACCAAGTATAAACCCAATTATATTTAAGCAAATGGAAGAACAAGGTAAAGGTCATAATTAGCTATCAATTTGTTATAGATTTTGCAAAAATGCTACTCTGGTAGTAATTAAAAAATATATAATAAAAGATTTATAACAAACATGATTAAATGGTGTCTATGATCATTTTACAAATAACACCAAGGTAAGCAACAATACCTTACAGGATGGAATATATGGGTAAAAATAATCATCATTCATATACCTGCATAGGAGTTGTACTCAAAATAAAAATATTTTTAAGATTTTATTTCACAGTTTTGTAGACATGATTAATGCCTATAAACTATGCCAAATTACAAATTTGTAACACTTAGTGTCTCTGAGTAAAACTGCGGATGGATGAACATGACGAAACTATAAGGTTTCCTTGTACACAACAAGGAAACCTTATAGTTTCGTTTTTTTATTATTTTTTTAAAAAAATGATTTGTCTTTAAGGTAAAAGTCAGTAAGGTTTTGTTATTGTTAAGACCGTATGTTTTACTATCTAGGGCTTTACAACCACTTACCACCATGTGGAGTTGTAGTAGTTGTTGTTGTCAATCTATACACTGACATACCTTGTTTTTAATTTAAAAGTGAATAAGCTTTATTTTTCTTATTTTATTTAGGGATTTTTGTCATATATGTCGCGTAGACTGAACTGATATATTTGGGAAAGTATGCAATAGGCTTTCGAAACACCTCCGATTCCAGAGGCGGATCGAGCCAAATGTTGGGTAGCAGTTTTGCTGTCCGAGTATAATAATTTAGTTCCAGTTACATCTTAGGGCTTCGGATATTGCAATGAGTTCAAGGGTCATAATACAAATGCCATTTGTAACTTTATAAGATTAAAAACTGCTTGATATGGGTCAAAAAAAGCTACCCCTTGCAACTTTAGCACTCTTTGATCCGTCTGTGTAGATTTTATGCCAGTCGTGATATTTATTTTCAAGTTCTTCAATAACATTTACTATAACAGAATTTATTCTTACCCCTTAATTAGCTATTGATAAGACATTGCTTTACTATCTATGGCTTTATAGCCACTGACCATCAGATGGGGTTGTAAAAGTTGTCGCAGTCAAGCTATACACTGACATACCTATAATAAGTAAAAACCAAAAGTTTGCTTGACCACCTTTACTAATGTTACAATCATGAAAGTGAGTTTCTTTAGTCTGCACTGCTAAAACAATTGCTAATTAA